TCTCCCACTAAACATTGGACTTCTTGTTGTTGACTATCTACACCCTTTTGCATGTGATTCTGAGCTCGTTGTAAATTGAGCTTCAATTGTCGCAGAATCTCATCTTAATTTTGAAATGCTATAACAACCGATTTTGCTTGACATTCATTGGGCTTAAATTGATGGATCACAGGAGGACGACGACCACAAATTGCCTCAAAGGATATTTACCTGATAATTGAATAAAATGAGTTATAATAAGAGAATTTCACCCAAAACAACTAGTGATCCTATGTATAAGGTTTTTCTAAAGCAAAAAACCTCAAATATGCTTCAAGGTAGCAGTTTAGAACTTATGTTTGTCCATCTATTTTCAGGTGATAAGCCAAACTCCTTCATAGTCTGGTACCTTGTGGCTTGAAAGTTTTTTGCTAGAAGGAACTCATAAACACTAAGTCTCAGTCGCTGACAATGGATCTAGGAATGCCATGCATGTGAATAATTTCTTAGGCAAACAAATCGGCTACTATCTTTGTTATATAAGGATGTTGAATTGGTAGGAAGTTTGCATATTTAGTCAATCAAACAGCTATCACTAAAATGTAGGAGGGTGCATGGGTTCAAGATGGTGAAGTATTAACTAAAAGTTCCTTCTCAATACAATGGGCCAGGCCCATGGCTTGAATGTAAAGTGTTGGGAACTTGAGTTCGCAGGTTGAACTTGATAGAAGCCTATAATATGTTCAAAAAGTAGCCCAACTAATGTCGTTCTATCAACTCGGGCACTTGAGTCACCGTCAGAATGAAGTAATTGACATAATCTTCAACTGTTGACTATTAAGGAAGGGCAACCAACTTTTCAAAAGGATTACTCGATTGGGAACTGTCAAATCATTAAAGTAAAGCCGCTGTCAAAATAGGCCAATCATATTGGACTAGCTTTACGTAGCTAATGGAACCAATGAAGGGCATGACGCTGCATACTAGTCATCGCAAGGTTGACTTTGTGATCCTCTGTTGTGTGATTCATCTCGAAATGCTGTTCGGCTCTAACAATCTACTTAACAGATCATTGTCGTCAAAAAAGGGTATGTTCATGCTATGGGTAAGAATATGTTTTGCTGTTTATGGATCCAGATGTGGAAAGGGGTTCCTATGATTGAGGGGAGGGGGCATTGGCTGGTGTGGAAATTGGAGGAGCCGTAGAGGTCACCATGTACTTGATGAGTGATATGAAATTATGGAGGAGGTCAACAACGGCACAAGACGAGGTGGCTAGTAGACTAAAGATGAACACATGGGATGAGTTGAAAAAGGAGTTGAAGAAGCACTTTCTTCCTTTCAACACTAGTTGGTTGGCATAAAACTCATTACAAAAGTTAAAGTAGAAGAGTTCGGTGCTCGACTATGTGAAGGAGTTCAATTCCATCATGTTCGATGTCCATAATATGTCCTAGGAAGATAAACTCTTCCATTTTCTAGACAGGCGTCAATTGTGGACTTAGGTAAAGTTGAGGCACTTAGGAGTCAAGGATCTATTGGTTGCCATTGCCACTGCTGATAGTCATGTGGATTTCTATGAGGTTGGGGACTATACAAGGAAATAAGAGTTTAGAACTAAGTAAGAAGAAGTTCTAAAAGAACAACAAACAAAAGTAGAACAAATAATCCTCTACAATAAGAATGAGGGTCCGAGACTTTGCTCATTGTCAACAAAGAGAATCGAAAGTGCCATATTTGCAATGGTGATCGCATGTGTGATTGTCCGAAGTGCAACAAGTTCTTAGCAATAGTGATAGAATCAAACAGAGAGGCAAAAGATAGAGATGTGACAAGGGTGAATCTTCTACAGTTATTGAGTGTGATTCAAAGTGAAGGGGCACGCTTTTCGAAGGGCCAGATGTTTATGGAGGCCTAGATGATCGGTAAGGTGATGTTGGCTATGGTGGATTCATGTGTGAAACATAACTTTATTATTGATGGGAAATTTAGAGGCTAGGGTTAAGTCTCGCAAAAAGTTCAAGTAAGGTGAAGGTTATAAACTCTGGAGTGAAACCAATCAATGGAGTAATCAATGCAAAGGTTGGGGTTAAGAATTGGTAAGGGCTCTGTGAATTGATGGTTGTCTTTCTTAATGATTATGATATGATTTTGAGAAATGAGTTCTTGGTGAAAACTAAAACAATAGTGTGGTCTCACTTAAGATAGTTGTTTATTTGAAAATGAGCCAACCCAATGTTCATTCATGGGATGTATGAGTCAACGTGGGTTGACAAGCTATCGATCACAAAGGGAAGAAAAGAAATTTTTGTTAGAGAAATAGTGGCGTGCATCGTGGCGGCAGAGGATCACTCGTTTTGAATTCTAAAACAAGGAGCTAAATCCTTTTGGTAAGTAGTGTGCCAAGGGAAGGGATTTGAAAGAAGGTCTTAGGTTAAGAGATAGAGTCCCGTGAGGTGGAGACAATGTAGTTATGAGCAAATGGGTCGGGATCAATCGAGATGATGCTCTTAATCCGACGAGGACGTTGAAGTTTTAAATGGGGGAGTGTTAGTCCTGAGACTGGACCAGCCTAACTCAAAAGGGCTAAGTTTCTTAAACCCCTAGTTGCAGGCTCATTTGAGTTGAGTATGTGAGGAAGAAGGGAGTCTGCCAATTCAAGGGTTACTCTTTTCTGTAATTCAAGAGAAATTAAGGTTGGGAGAATTGGTTTTTCCCGTTAGGAATCAGTAAACTCCCAGAGAAAGCGTTCCAACCAAATAACTTGGGAACATGTCAATTATAGAAGAATCTCATAACAAGACGAAGCATTACTTTTTACCGTGATGATAAAATTCAGATAAACAAGAAGATTGGGAATTTGTAATCTCCACATGCTCTTTGTTCATGGATGAACAATTGGGGCCTGTCTCTGGCCAGTTAAAATATCTTTTATGCCAGTCATATCCTCGTCTCCTGCCATGTGCTCATGGGCCACATTCTGAACGGCATTTAAAAGCTCATCTGTCACCATGCCGAATTTGTGCACTTCTGAAATGGACCCTGAATTAAATGGGTTGGTTTTGTTTGGGAACAATTAATATTTCACTGTTCATCAACTTTCAGCGATTTTCAGTTCATTTGATGGTAGACTCGATTGCTTTAGCACTTGTTTTTAGTCTTTGATAGAAGGGCTGGCCCTTCTCATTGTAAAGAATCTCAACATTGACAATCTCATTGTCGCGGTTAGATTCTTTTGAAATGAAATTCTTCTATTTTTTTTGTAAGCTTCCAGAAAACTAAGCAACAAAGTGGCGGCTTTCAGAAAAAATGGATACAGCTTGCTGATATTGTCCATTAATGGAAACCTTGTTCTTTTCTACCAATGCATTACCTTCTGCAGATTATTGCAAACTTCTGCAGCTCCACATTTGGGTGATTTTCTATTCCAATTTGTTATTTTTTTTGGTATATTTTAAATATCTTATCCACCAGCTTATGATTCACTCAGCCCCGAAGGAGCAAACTTTCCTTGGTTGGCATACTTTTACATCCAAAGAAATTTGACCATTCCACCATGCTTAATGTGTCATCAAAGTATGTAAATAGATATGAATGTGAAGAAACAAACATAAAATGAAGCCATTCATGTGTAATAGTGTTTTTGAAATGATTTTCTGTTTCAGAAAATAGAAATTTTACTGGAAGGTTGTTTTAGAAAATGGTTTCCAGGGGAATTTTGGAAAATAAATGTTATTAAGGAAACGGCAAAAATTTATCCGTAGAATTATTAGAAACATTTTTCCATAAAAATGGAGTTTTATTGTTTTCTGTTTTTTGAAAATACAGGAAATGAACCCTGAAAACAGGAAACATAACACAAATCCAAGCTCTCAAGTATAAGCCACTGCTACTTGTAGTGCTTCTTGCTGATTAATGCATAATTTTGCAAGGGAATATAATTATTCTTCCTGCCAAAACTTCATGAGAAGATACAATCTGGTGTTGCATTTTAGTAATGTCAGTCCATAGGAAGAACATTACATCTGGGAAACAGAGTTACTGTTTAGTGAAAAACCCAAATGCCCTATAAGATGGGGAATCTCTAAGATCCACACAGGACGTCTTTAGATCACCATATAAAAAGACGAAAAGACTTGCAGAGACCTTTTGGGCTGTCAAAATGTCTTCACATGCCTTCCTATCTACCTGTTCTCACTGGTCATGGACCACATTAGCTTGGACATTTTTTGGGCTAGACCCTTATCTTTTTTTTTTTCCTTGATATATTAATCCAAGTCCTTTCTTGTGTCACTATGGGAACCCATTTTTCAAATGATTTGAATCAAGCGCATTGGTTCACTTACCGACTTTTTTGAAAGCTGGAAAGTCTAGATGGTTCAATTCTAACATTTGCATTATATATCTGATGATTGATGGAAGAAACGGCATGATTTAACTTTAAAATTGGAAGTTTTGTGTCATTAGAACTGTGTCAAATGACTTCTCATAATCCCTGTCATATCCTCCTTAGAATCCAGGAAATGACCAGAAAATTTAAGTAAAAAGAATTGCAATCTTGGGCCAAGGTACATACAGGATAAGGCAGTGATTCTGCTTGCTGTTTATATGCATATACCTCAGAAATTCTGAAGAAGGATTGCTGATGAGTCTAAGCAATGAGACCGTCATAATCAGCATATTCAAATTGTTAGTTCCCAAAACATTGTGGTGTGAAATAATTTTCGAATGAATACCTTTTAAATATGCAGAGTATGCCTCTTTGTTTCAGCATATTTTCAAACAAAAGGAGACTTTTTGTTGTTGTCTGAAAAAGATGCCATACACTCACATGCACCACAGACCCAAGTCCGTCGGTTTCCTAATATGAAAATATCATGCACGGCTGTATCTCTAACATCCAAGAGAATTGGTGCAAAAAAATCCATGCCTCCTCTCTATATAAATGGTGCTTTACCCAAGTGAAGAGAGCAGTCCCAATATACTAGCTAGCTCATTATACACTAGTCCCCCTTTAGAAGATGATGTTTCTTCCTATTTTCTTCTTCTTTTCACTTCTCTTCTCTTTCTCTCAAGCCTCAGTTGTAGACTTCTGTGTTGCAGATTTCTCACTGCCTGATGGACCTGCAGGCTACTCCTGCAAGAAGCCTGCAAAAGTTACTGTGGATGATTTTACTTACTCGGGCTTAGGCAAAGTTGGAAACACTTCTAACATCATAAAAGCCGCGGTCACCCCTGCTTTTGCGGCCCAGTTTGGCGGTGTGAATGGGCTTGGGCTTTCCATGGCCCGTCTAGACATTGCGGTGGATGGGGTTGTGCCAATGCATACTCACCCAGGAGCCTCAGAGATTTTGTTTGTGGTGGGAGGAACTATTTGTGCCGGATTCATATCTTCGGCCAATACCGTTTATTTTAAAACTCTTAACAAGGGTGATATTATGGTTTTCCTCAGGGACTTCTTCATTTTCAAATTAACTCTGGGAAGACCAATGCCCTTGCAATTGTTAGCTTCAGTAGCTCGAACCCAGGTCTTCAAATCTTGGACTTTGCTTTGTTTGCTAACGACTTGCCTTCTGAGTTGGTGGAGAAGACCACTTTTCTTGATGATGCGCAGGTGAAAAAGCTCAAGAAGGTTCTGGGTGGTACTGGTTAATTAATTAAGGGCTTTGAAAAGTACTCTTCCATTTAATTTCAGAATGTGGTTCTTTTTAGTTGGTGTTTTGCCATTGAATAAAGTCTGGCTGTTGCTGGTCTTTTGGTATTACCAGTAGAGTCTAATTAATTGAGTGGTTTTTCTTTTCTTTGGTTGTGCATTGGCCTTTGATGTCAAACTGGTTAGGTTAGTCTAAGCAGACAGGCCGGTGAAATTCAAATGCCATCTTTGTCTGAATAGACTCACAACATTAGTTGATAAATTGCACTTAAAGGGTTGGATGAACATGCTTCATTACCTAGTTTCTCTACTTTCTTTTCTTTTTCTGCTCTTCATATCATAAATTATCAGAAAAGTGAGACAGAATACCAAGTGTAACTCAGAGACATGCTTTCCCCAACTGTTGACACAAGTAGCTGTTGCTCCTGTTAATTAGAAAATTAAGAAAATTAGTGAATTACTAGCAAAGGGCAATGACAACTGCAATATCACAAGGTATGCAACCTTATCTACTTCCACGTGAGATCTGGATTTCCCCCTGCGTGCCAGAAACAAAATGTTTTCTCGCTGCAGAAAGTTTTTTTTCCTGATTCATAGTCCAGCTCTGCCTAGCATGGTCCTTAACCATCACGGGTGCCACAAAATCCTATTATTATTAGACAATGACTTATAAGTTGCCTCAGAAACCAATAGTACAGTAGACTATCAAAGTTTAAGTTGGTACTGAAAATTTTAACTAAATCCCACGGATTTATTTTTGTCACGACCCGGAAAGTCGGATCCGTGACCGGTGCTAGGGTTAAGATAGTCTCAACCCCACAAGCCTCAAATACTCAGAACTATAACATAACAAAATAAAATTTAACATAATTCAGTAATCAAAGTCTGATACAAACTATCAAAATCCCATACACTTATTAACATCTAAACCCCTGTCTGTGATATCAGAGTTAACTAAAACAAAATACATACTAGAAAAATAATGACTGACTACGATACTTAGAAATCAGATCTGCTGGAAGCACAGAATCGAAATCGGCGAACTATTATCACTGAGCAGGATCTGTCGGGCCCACAAAACCCGAGTCTGGAAAAATAAAGGATGAGTTTATTGACCCAGTGAATAATAATACATATTTATATGATGAGAGACATATATCAGGTATTTTAGCATAAAAATACAGTTTTCAAAATTTTATAGGTTAGGGAGTTTGACACCGAGAACTAAACAGAAACAGGACGGTAACTCATTGTATGCCAACATACAGATATCAGGACGACAACTCAAAGTCTGCCGGTAATCAATAAATAGGTCTACCACGTCAGCCACACATGATAGTTTAGCATCACCCCTGCTAGCTGGGGATACAGGCCAAGGTGCACCAAGTCTAACGCATACTGCCATTAGCTACAGTGTTCTAACAGTACGATACTCCCTTAAAATCATTTATCAGAACTTAATAGAGAAAGTTTCAAATTTTCAAAGTCTTAAACATGTGTCAGTACTTGAAGTCTGAAATTCAGAAGTTTTTCCCACATATGAGAAAATGATATATAAGTTCCTCGTAACTTTTCTCACAACTTAAGTTCAATCGGATAATAACTTAAATAAAATTTCAATTTATATAAAAACAGGAAATTTAAACAAGTAAAATAGCATTTTAAACATATAAATATATAATATTACTCATAGAAACCGAGAATTACGCAATTCGAGTTTCGGCGGTTCGGCTCCCCGAAATTCATCCAATTAATCTAAAGATAATCAAATATTCATTTTAGAACGTAGTATTTCTCAAACTTAATTTAAAAAGTAAATTATTCTTAAAAACCCAACTTTATTCTTAATTTTCATGTCTTAAACCATTTCGGAAATTTTAAAGTCTCGAACTGATCAAAACCATACTGAACAGGACCTCCTACACATTGAACTGAGCATAATATTTACTGAACCAGTGAGAAAAACTATTGAACCGAGACCGAAACCCGTTAAACCGGTCTCCACATCAATAAACCAGCTTTAATTCCCTTAAATTTGCCATAAAACCCCTTGAACCGATCTTAAACTGATTGAACCGGTCTTAAAATACATAGAACCAGCCCTAAAAGTCAATGAACCAAACTTAGAATCACTGAACCGGTTAGTCTTTGCCCTGAACCGGACTTAGAATCACTGAACTGGTTAGTCTTTGCCCTGAATCGACTTTAAATAGGTTAAACCGTTGGTTTTCTAATTTTCTATTAATTTATTTAATCTTGGACCGGCCACTCATCACGTAGATAATTTAATTCCCTACATTTTGATACCTTGAACCGGTCAAAAACCGGTCTGAAAGGGCCTGAACTGGCCAGTTTAATTTTTCTGTAATTTTCTGATTTTATTTTCAATTTCTATTTTAATTCTTTATTTACTCTCCCCTGGCCAAATCCAGCATTTGGACTTGGTCTTGTAACCCATTTCTAATACTGGTTTGGACCTGGCCCATTGGCCATGGTCCAGATCCAGAAATTTTCTGTCTGGCCCAGAATCGTCTGGCCCAGCCCAACTCCATTCTGTAGTCTTGACCTTGCAAGAACCGGGTCTTTCTCTTTCACCCATTTCATCTAAAACAAACTTGAAGCTTTGCAGAAATAAATCAAACTTAAACACTAGAATTTACCTCGGATTTGATCGATTTTCTTTCACATAAATTCCTCCAAGTTGCTCGAAATATTCAATCGATGGCTGTAGATGGCCTTAATTGGCTCACAATTGACTACAACTTGTAAAATGAATCTTGAACTGTACATTCACGACGAACGAACCAACACAGGAATCCAATTAAAATTCAAAACCTTTTTGAGCTAATTTAAAAATTTGATTTTGGGGTTCTTGATCGCATCCCCTTACAACACATGTTCTGATTAACTTTTCTTTTAATTCATTGAATTGAATACATTAAAAAAATGAATAAATTTGAACAGTCCGACGGTTTCTGGATTAATTTGCTAGACTTTGCAATTCAGCCCTCAAAAATTTTTTTTTTTCTCATGCAATATGGTCCCTGGCACACTTTAATACTTATATTTAGACCCCTCACAATTTTAATCATTCAATTAAGCATCTTCATTTTTCAATTAGACCCTTAATTTCACTGATTCTTTCAATTTGACTCTAACTTTTTAAATAACTTTTAATTTCCCCAAATTGAGGTTTTACATATTTTGGGTTAATTTGCCCCTCTCTTGATGAGTTATTTGGTTACTGTTTGATCAGGTTGGGCAAACATGCTGATTTGTTTAATCCGTATATCAATCTGATCCAATTTTTTAACTTCTGAATATCAAAAATAATAGGGTTGTGTTTGGTTAACACAAAAAGTTTGACTTTCCTTTTGGTGTCTTTTTAAATAAGATCAGGTTGGATGAGTTTCAATATATTTGGCTAATGTTACATTTGAATCCTTAAAAAAATTAAAAAGAAAAAGCTATCTGAGAAAACCCACAAGCTCATTACACATAACTTCATGAAAAAGCCAACGAGAAGTCAGGTCTTATTCCAAACCAAAAAGATGTTTTCGACCTGCTTTTGTGAATTAGGAGCAACTTGTGCTGATGCTCTTGCAACCAGTTTTCCATACAGGGTGTTGAAGATCCCCAGTAAGAAAATTGAAAATTTAATTAGTGGCATAAAAATATTAAGAAAGGGACCAAAAAATTACTGTTTTGGATATAACTAGTCTACTTTTAGAAGAGAATAATTATAATAATATAATGTTTAGTTTAATGAATACTCATGATGTAAGTGTATTTATAAACATGTACCGGATTCTAATAAACTTTCTTGTCTTTGTTTATAATTATTCTAATCTTTCACTTTTAATAATTAGCTCTAAATATACTTATCTTCATGGTTGCCTATAGGTCACATTTTAATCTAAATTTGATTAAAATATTTGATTAATCAAATCTAATTATAAATATATATAATCTGACATAAGTGAATTGAATATAAAATTAAGTAATTTAATTCATTAAAAATCTAAACTCAAGTTTTAATAATTTTTTGTTAAATTAGTAATTATATATATAATATTAATAAATTCAAATTTGTAGGGAATAAATTAGAAAAAAATAAAAAACTAGTATAATTGATAGATTAGAGTTGAGAGATTCAAATATAAAAAATTACTGTTTCTTATGGGATCATATTTTTTTGTTAGATCTTGGATTATCTATTAATTTCGAATGTTGATTAAAAGATACAAATCATATAATTTTTCATATTAAATTTTGATATTCACTTGATTAATCGGATTCTGATTCAGATTTTTCTGATTTAATTTAAATCCAACTCGTTTATAGCTTCGTTTATTTCAATTTTATCTTTAACAAAATGAATAATATTTCTTAACATCTCCAAGTTTATTTGAAAAATAAAAATAACTTTAGTACCGCATTGCTATTTTACTCTTCATTAATTGCATTCTAACAAGAAGAATTAATGTGACGAAGGTAGACCATGTTTTGAGGGATCTTGTCTCCTCAGGAACTGCAAAGACTATTTTCAACACTGGTGCTTCCTAATCCAGGCTTGTGGGGATTTTTCTTCACTAAAGACTTCAATCACAATTCTGCGCTTCCGGAATAATAGAACCTTAGGCTGTTCCACTGGCTCTTTACTTGGAATTTGGTTCTCTTTTCCCACTTATTTTGGATCAAAAATTTCAGAAAAAAGAAATGCTTTCATAATACAGGTGTTATGCTAGCACTCAAAATGGAAAATCTGATTAATAATTTATGTTACACTTGGAAGATGACATGACATTAACATGGTTTTATTATACCAATTTAGTCTCGGAAATACATGATTGACCCACTTCACCTAGAAAATTTCCCCACCTTCTGATCTCAGGACATATGCAGATGAACTAGGTTTCTGCATTGTACTACTACTCTATGGGAGCTTAATTGATTCATCTATTTCAAAGATACATATTTTATTCAAATGTATTTTGTTTTGGCTCACAAAATTAGCCAGATTTAAAGGAAGGTGATGCTAAAAATGGGGGAAATTTTGGAAGCAAGTACCATAAACATGAAGCAGAAATAATTTTCTTTAAAAAAGGCCACAGGACTCGTGCCAGGAAATGATCTTCCCAAAGCTACGAACATCAACCACCAGCATGGATTTTACCATGGAGAAGAGTGGGGGAGATCTTGTGAGAATCTATTTTGCCAAAATTGACAAGACCAGAGGCCCAGAGGGGATGTATCTTTCACCAAAACAGGCAAATTCACTGTGAGCAATATTCCCAATGTCCCAATATTGAGCTTTACAAAAAGCACAAAGAGGAGGATGCTCCTCATGCAATGGAAGGTGAATAAAATCTAAGGAGTCTGGCCCAAAACCGAAGCTTTTGACTGTGCCAATAGACTTTGCCAACCAGCAAGCCCCTCTTTCCTTCAACACCATTCTTTTTTATACAGCTAATTCTTAGTACCTTTGGGCCCCATTGTCACCCCAAAAAATCTCACAGCATCCCACCATGATAAGCACCGGTGCACCAAACTGCGATGACGGAGAAGGCTAAGTCTTATCCGTAAATATCACTTATAATTAATTTTTTTATAACAAAATATTTGGATATTGAACTTTTAAGGGTGACAATTTTAGTGGAGTGAATTAGAAAAATCATATAAATTATTTATTTATTTTCAATAGATCCATGATATGGATAGAGAGAATTTAACGTAATCATCATTAATCATTGCAATCAGATACTTATGATTTAAATAATATCTTTGTATGAAATTGAGAAATATTGATTTTAATATCTCTTTTCTTTGAAAAAAAAATCAACTAATTTGTAAATTACATCTTAAAATAAGAATTTTTAATATTTTACACTTCAAAATTATAATTTTAATATTTAGTATCCTAATTTTATTAAATATGCATCATACTATGAAATTAACAGGTAAAATTTGAAATTTGTATCTTTAGAGGATAAAAAAATAAAAATTTCATTTCATTTTTCTTTATTATCACGCTATTCAATATTTTTAAGGCTTTTTAATTAATTTACTCATTTATTTCATAAATTAATTAATAAATTCTAACCCAAATATATTAAATTTAATTTTATTTTTTAGATAAACATAATTTGTGACGTTATATTTTTTAAATAATTTAGTTTTTTAAATTTAAATTATTTAATCTTGTCAGAGAATAAGATAAAATTTTAAATTTAAGATTATGTAATTAAATAAATTAAATTTCAACTTGTTTAATTATTAAATAACTAATAATAGATTTAATTATCAATCTATTAGAATTCTAATTTATTTGTTTAGACAGAGAATAACATGGTGTTTGTATGTGTTTTATAAAATTATTTTTATTACTCTTTTTATTTAAAATTTTTAAAAAATTCATATTATTATTTTCAATTAATAATAAAAGTAATAAAATGAAGAAAAATTAAAAATAATATAAATTTAAAAATATTTAAAATTTTTTCTTTTCTCTATACACTTATTTTCTAACAAAAATAAATAAATTATATTTTAAAAAATAAAAAACAGAAAATTTATTATGAAAATAAAAAAATTTATACCTTTTATTTATAATTTATGAATTAAATTATTAAAAAATAAATGAAAATATATAAACAATAGAAAGAATATTAAATAGAGTAGAAAAAGAAAAAATAAGATTCAAGTCTTTTTTTTTTACTTTTTTATCCTTTAATAATGTGAGTTTCGAATTTTATCACCTAATTTTATAATCAATATATATTTTTAATAAAATTAAGGGATTAAATATTACGATTATAGTATTAAAATATTAAAAATCCATATTTTTAAGTATAATCTACAAATTACTCTTACAAAAATCAATGAAAATAACTAAGGAATAGAAAATATAAATCCAGGAATATCGGCCAGGTAGGCTTGCAATGGCGAAGAAAGAAGACGACGACTAGGCTGTTGCTTTGGAGAGAGAGAGAGTCTTGGCCTCTCCATTGCCAGTCTGTCATGTCCCTTCCTCAGCTCCTCTCTCTCTCTCTCTCTCTCTCTCTCTCTGCATATGCCTATATTTAGATGTATATATACGCCCTTCTCACATCGTCCTCTCTCTTACAGTACCTAAATATAGGCATAGATACACACCCTTCATTTCTGCTTCAACATTTGATCCGAGCCTCTCTCCTTTTGGTTTGTACAGAGAAGGGAGAGGGAGGGAGGGAGGGAGGAAGGGAGGTAGAGCGGTAGAGAGAGAGAGAGAGAGGAAACAACCCGACGCTCCAAGCCGAACTGCTTCTCCTTGGAAATCATGAGTCTCTTCGGCCTTGGAAGCAGGTACTTCTTATTCAATTTCTAGCGTTTCATTATGATCTGTGGTTTCACTTTTCAAATTTCCTTAATCATCCATTCCCATGGAACGAAATTTAGCTATTTTGCTAATAACATGAATCATTTTTGTGGGATTCGATTCTTTCTCAGACAAGCGTATAATTGGATACGCATTAGCCAAAAATGGGAATGTTCGAATGGGAATAAATTTGTGAATTGTAGCAAGATTCATTGGTTTGCTTGTTTTGGGTAAAACCATTATATTATTTTTCTTTCTTGTAATTGAAGAGCCAGACCTGTATTGCTAGCTGCGTTGTCATGGTTCATGAGATATTTTCTACGTCAAGAATACTTCTGTACAATTATCTCGATGCTTCGAGGATTTTGTTAGTTTTAGAACTAATACATGGTTTTGATCATGGCCAATGAAGGGTGTATAGTGCATGGGACATTTTACAATAACTTTGATGCTTCACTACTGATATTATATAGTAGTTAGTACTAGCAAATTTTAGGATGTCTCGTTTATTGAATATGTTTTCAACTTCAATGTGTCAACGTATCAAAGTCATACAGACCGGTTAGTACGGTGAAGGATTAACTTCTTCTGCATCAAGTTGTCACTTTCCAGGTTCGAATGTGTTCAAGGGCCCAGATTTTGAAACCCTGCCTTTTTAATTGTGGTTTCCTGGTGGAGATCAACTATATTTTTTCCCCTTTTTCTTTGGTGGCCATCCAGGATGAATTTCTTTTGAAATATTTTATTTTTATTTCATTTTATTTTTAATTTCAGACACACTTGTCCAAGTATACGGACATGCTTCTCTTAGCTCACAGACACACGCCTCTATATCAAATAAGATTTACCCAATATTAATGTTGTGTAAAATGGATATCAATAAAAGAATTATTTGTTGTAAATGCATAGTAGTTTTTTGTTCACAACTTCATTTTGAGCAGTGTTTAAGCACAGACAAATTAGTATGATTATGGGTAATATACTCTTTTGGTCATATTATTGGGTAATATACTGTTTTAGTCATTTTATGAATGTGCTACTTTGAAATGTAATATAAAAATGTTAAAAGTTATATTTTTTGGCCATGTCCATGTCCTAATTTTTTCAAAAATAAGATATTTATTTGTCCTTGTCCATCTCCATGTTGTGTTGGATACATTGTCCTTGTCCATGCTTCTTAGTTTTTTTTTTCTATTTTGGAAAAGGAATAGTTATGAATAGCTAGCCCTGGAATTCCAATTTTTACCATTCGGACAAGAATATAGATTAATTCAGCATTTTGACCTAAACCATTCTGAAATCTGCAGAAATCAGAAGACTTTTCGACCCAAGAAAAATGCTCCATCAGGAAGTAAGGTTGTGTTCTAACTTAAATTTATGATATTTAAGTCAGTCCACTTCCTCTGTTATGTTTCAGCTATGCTTTTGTACATGGCTATTGAGTTTCAACTTTATAAAACTGAACTCCTATCTCTCTTCTCTCTTGTTCTGTGTTCGAGTATTTCTATTTTTTGTTTTTCTATTTATCTCCCTTTGGTTTTGTTCTAATACAGGGAGCACAGCTTCAAAAACATATTGATGCCACCTTAGGTAGTGGAAATTTAAGAGAAGCAGTCCGATTGCCACCTGGAGAAGACATTAATGAATGGCTGGCAGTGAATAGTAAGAAAATTTAACTTGATCCTTTGTCTTTCTTGACTACAAGATTTCATCTGATACCAACTGAATATGGCTGTTTTATTGCATCTTTCATCCTGTTTCACTTGCTCTTCTTTATCCTGTTTATATTTTTCTTCAACCTTGGTAAGGGCAAATATCTTTTTTCTAAGTTTTCATTTGTTTTCTTTTCATACAGCGGTTGACTTCTTTAATCAAGTGAACATTCTATATGGCACTCTTACAGAATTCTGCACCCCATCAAGCTGTCCAACAATGACAGCAGGACCAAAGTATCTTTCTTGATCCCTCTTTAAGAATAGCTTTTGGGTTCTACTGTAGAAATGTCGATGAAGCCAGCTTGATCTGAGCTTATTAAGCTTAATGACAATACTTCTATAAAATTCATTCAAGAAAAAAGATGTATGATCTTCCTCCCTCATTCCCTCTCCCTCTCCCTCTCCCTTTCCCTCTCCCTCTCTTTGTGTGTGTCTCTTGGCAGATCATTGTGAAGTTGAAGTTATGTATTTTTGCGCAAATTATTGATATTTAAACATGAGTTTTTTTCTGAAAGGCTTTTCCAACATGAAAGGATATATTTACTTATGTAGTATGTGTGGAATTACATGTGCTTTATTCATGCTGTTCTTCCATCAACAATTGCACTAGAAATATCATGTTGTGGTTAATACTGTCCAACCTCTCCAATTCCAATATTTACTAAAATATGTAATAAAATAAAAATGTTCTCTGAGTTTGTGTGCGTGTGTTTAAGGGAGAGACAGAGAGAGGAGCAGCCTCCCGCCATTTTCCTCTGCAGGACTGTGTACCTACTTATGATGAATTCATGTCCTAAATTCTTGACTGATATTTTCCATATACAGGTACGAGTATAGGTGGGCTGACGGGGTTACCATAAAGAAACCCATTGAAGTATCAGCTCCTAAATATGTAGAGTATTTGATGGACTGGATTGAATCTCAGCTTGACGATGAGTCAATTTTTCCTCAGAAATTGGGTATGCATCATTTCTTAATTTGACAAACTCATGGTTATTTTATTTTATTGGAGTTGGCTTTTTATTTTTTTCGTTATGTCTTGCAGGAGCATCATTTCCTCCAAATTTTAGCGACGTTGTTAAGACAATATTTAAGCGGTTGTTCCGTGTATATGGCCACATTTATCACACACATTTTCAGAAGATTGTGTCTCTGAAGGAAGAAGCTCACCTCAATACCTGCTTCAAGCATTTTGTCCTTTTTACATGGGTAAGTTAATATCTATTTTCTACGAAGCAGGGAAGTTTGCACTCCATATAATTAAGCATCTTTTAGTCTGATCAAGAGAAGAGTGGAACGGTGAAAAGGGTAGAAGGAAAAACGGCAGGGTGGATGATGCTATTAGTCCTACTCAATTTAATAACTGCCGGCTTACTAGTCTTTTTGATCTGCACCTTTGTTTTGAAACATTTGAAATACTGTTCCTGTTACGAATTGGAGCATATTGTATATACTTAGGTTTACTCTATAGTTTTCACACACTCTCATTCCAACTATTATGCTGCTTGCACTTCCAAAATTAAAACTTTGATAATTTTTCATGGAGAGAGTTTATTGGCATCTGCCATGAGGCTACCATAAGCGCATCTTCCGTAACTCTTGTATTCACTTGTTTTTGACGTATGTCATTGGAAATATTTACTCCTGCAGAATGAAATGTTTTGTTGGTCTTCCAACACCCCCTCCCCCCTTTCTCCTCTGTCTCTGGGTTTCAATTATCTAATTTACTGTGTGCGCTGCAGGAATTCCGCTTGATTGATAAAGGGGAGCTTGCACCTCTCCAGGAGCTTGTCGAATCCATCTTGCAGTTGTAGTAAATTGGTGATTTTATCCATTCTCATTATGGGTTTATCTCACTTGGTCGGAAATTTTATGATCTTTTGTGTTTCTCCTCATGCAGCCTTCTGATTTACTTTTCCTTTTTTCTTCTTTCTTGTTTTTGTTTTTATTTTGTATTGGAGACCCCATATTGACATTGTTCTTGTTCATTTTCAAATGAATGCTTAACCCTCTCTCTCACACACCCGCGAAGCAATTACTTTATTTTGTTTCCTGGTGAAGTTTATTCCAAGCAATTTGTCTTATTTTGCTTACCCGCTCAACAAATGTGTACTGTATTATAAAAGGTTAGTTATACCTTAAAATTTTGCCACATGGACAACCTCTTATTGTAGCACATGCCGTGATTAGGAATTTAAAATTACTGTTTTCTCATTACTATCGTTATTAGGATAAATTAATTGATAGAGTTTTTAGTTCATCTAATGCATTTATTATAATTATCATGAAAATACATATATTTTTTCTTGAAATTGAAATGAAAATTAAGGTGAGAAAAATTTAATATATTTGTAATTATGTAAACATTAATTAAATATCTTTAAAATGGAATAACAAAATAAATTTCACCCTTAACTTTCAACGAGTCAAATTTGGAATTAATTATATTAATTCGAATCTAAAATTGATTATCTATTTGTATATTTGAATTTGATCTAAAATTTTATAAGTTTATATTTTAATTTATTAATCTATATTTGAATTTGATGAATAATCCAAAATTTGACAACAAAATTTGATTAGACAAAAAAATAGTATTGTTTTGTATGTAAGTTACTTAGCTCAATTTTATCAATTACATTAGTCTTTAATTTTTTTTATTTTTTCAATTTATTCCTTACAATGTGTTTGTATTACTTAATTTTATGTTTAATTTACCTATTTCAAATTATGAATTATTATGATAAAATATAACTAATCAAATATTTTTATTAAATTTAAATTATAATCCAGTCATTTGACAACCAACAAATAGTTAGTTCACTTAACAATAAGTTTTGTCCATATTGTGGGAGTGTCACGACCAAAACCAGGGCTTGTGACGGCATTAAAGTTCTTGATCCCAGTCAGTCTCACAACTAAAAAATTATGCTCAAAAATCAAACAATTTATATATATACATGTCATACAGTTCAAAATACAAATAGAATTCTAATTGAGTGATACAAGGAGCTTTAAAGTATAAAAACAGATAAATAAAAAACTCGCCTATATATCAATTGACTTGTAAAGCGCGGCTTTAAACACTGCTATCTGAAAGATGAACGATCAAGTCGATTTAAAAGGATAATAAAGTGTGAGTCGTAAAATTCAATAAGTATGGATAATACCTAAACTATGCATGATGGAATATGTATCACATAACCAAACCAAAACATACACATATATACATATGTAGTGAGTAGTATCAACATCAAACAACATGTGGGAGTACAATAAATCTCACCACGAGACTTCAGTCCCGTGACTCTCACGATTGGAGACATTCTCCATCTCACAATCAGAGATATCACAAATACATTAGATGACCATCTCCAGATTGAAGAAATCTTCCGTCTCACGATCAAGCTCAACTCAATCATATATCACGCTCTCGATCGAAGGCATATTTCATCTCATGGTCAAAGCAACACAACCTTATCACATAACATGACTCGCCACAAGTCAATCAACAGATATATACACAGGCATACGTAGACATATCATAAAAACTAATGACAATATACTAACATAAGTCACTGTTAGTGTAGAAAACACATAACACATATCTCAAAAGCAGTATAGGCCAAAATACAGTAAGAAAACATAAGGTTCATCATCCTAGGAAAATATAGTATAAAATGCATACATAGAGAGGGTATCATCGCTCACTGTACAGGCCAAGTTAGAAAGGAAAGTCCTGAGTCACCTTAGCCAACTCAATGGTTCAAGTGTGCCTCTGCCGGCGACTTTGCAATCAAAACCATACAAAACCATCACAATCACCAAAATTAGCATAATAAACAGGCTCAATAGCCTTAAATCGGGCTTAAATCCCAACTCGGCACCCTAGCATGCATCTCAAGGCACCACCACCCGTCACCGGAACCTACGCGACTCACTAATACTTAACAATTCATCTCAACCACCCTCAACAATAATGAATCAGCTTCCACAGTCCTCAAATCATAGTGAATTGACCTCAAAAACCCTCGAACTGACCTAACTCGGCCTAAAACTACCTCAAATTCAGCTAGATCAGTCACGAAACCCTCAAAAAAGGATTCCGAAAGTCCTAAAACCTTAGGAACCGATCCAATATCAAGAATTTTGGCCAAAAAGACCATTGAACCAACCGGTCAAACACCCTGGCCGGTTTAGTCAAGGGTCTACTTTTTTCTTTTTTTCACTAGCTCGCCTCGTAGCTCAGCTTGGCTCGCGGCTTAGCCCAAGTCCAAACCTTTTTTTTTCACTGGGCTGAGTTGACTCAGCGAGTCAACTCAGCCCAACTGTTGTTTGGGTCGGCACGTGGCTTAGGGTCGCGCTCCTGTGATGCATCTAGGCCGAGTTTGGGCCCAACCACCCGACCTGCCTTGCATGGGACCCGGACCCATCCGAGTCCTTTCTCCTTCACCCGTTGACATAGATCTGGTTGACAAACTGGGTCTGTAGTAGACCCGTCGCAAAACCAAAGAAAAAATGAAAAAAAACTACAAAACTCAACTTACCTCGACTGATCGGCACCAAGGCTTGTAGATTTGAACCCGACGAGCCTCCCCACAGCTTTTAATTGGTTTGAATCACTCAAAATAATTCAAAAATTCTGGAAAATCTCCAGTTCTACCGCAAACAGCTCTTCGGCCCAAGAACTCCCCAATCCCCCTCAACCTCACTCGGTTTCTTGAAATTTGGAGAGAGTTTTGGTTCGTCCCTCTAAAACGCACGCAAAGGTGTAAAAAGTCCACCCAAATCATTAAAACATTGCGGCAAAACGGTGAGAATCATCATTCGGGTATTATTCATGTCAGATTTTCTGTCAAATTTTGATTTAATCCCTCAAGCTTTGGTTTCTTTCGAACTGTTCCCCAAACACTTTTCGATTCGGCTCACTACATTTTAATTTTCTCATTTTCATCTCTAAACTTAAAATTTACGAATTCGGTTCATTACAGGGAGCAAATAACATATGCAAAGATATCCGCATATTAGGCAGCATTACAAGAGCCAAGAGGCTCGGTCATTCCCTCTTCAATGAACTCGTGCACAGTAGAAAATGTTGCGAGTCACCTGCTAATCATCATACGGCATACAGCAACGCGGCGGTGATGACATACATACAGAGCAACGAGGCAGTGCTGACAGAAAGCAATAAGCAGCTTTCTAGAGACATAAAAATATATTCTATTTTATTTGTGATTAAAATTAAATACATAGTTTTGTATAATTCCTTCGTATTTCGTCAACAATTCAAACTGGTAATAAGTATTGTGTCAAAAAAGTTGAACCATTAGTTTTGGTTCTGTATAAGACACAATGCAATTTACGGATCAAAGCATTTGACTGGCTTCCAGGCTGTGTCCTCAGCATTCTAGAAGGTTGGAATTGAAGGATCAATTTTCGCCAAGGATGAGATTGCGAGTCCACTTCAACGAGCACCTTTAAGGTGACCTAACTTGCAGGGAAATGAAAATTGAATCCCTTTTCAAGGTATCTATTCTTTGTGTTCACAAATACAACCTGGAAGGGGATTTGCATAAAAACTCTCTTCCAGCTTTGGGGACTCTCCGGCTTCTCTTAAATATGGCGCCCCAACTTTGTCCTCGTGAATCTTCTTCACTTCAGAACTAAATTTTTCCCATGAGATTTCCCCTTCATCAAATTCATCAACAAGCTTGATAAAATTCATCCTGCATTAACAAAACTAACTGAGATACATCCTATGCATGAGGATTAAAAGTTTAGAACATTCCATTCAGGCTTTATGTGACTGAATACTATAATGTAAAAACTTTTAGGCCCGTTACAATTTGTTTTGGAAAACAGTTTTCTGTATTTGGTTACAGAAATCCAATTTGAAAGATTATTTTCAGGAGAATCTTCAGAAAACAGGCACATTCTTAGAAAACAACAAAAACTTATTCTCAGAATTCTGAAACTTTTTGCTCTTGAAAATGAAATGATATGAAAATAATAGTTTCCAATATTTTCAATGCTTATGAAAACATAGAAAACGGAAGCTGAGAACAGAAACAGAAAACAGAAAAGAAATCCTGACAGACCCTTTACCTGTCAGGACTGATAGTTTTCTTGAAGTCCTCAAAGCGCCTGTGCCCTTGAACTGCCTTTGCCATATTCCCATCATAGGTGTAAAGGAAAACATTGCTTTGAAGGGCCACGACATAGTCAAGACCGGCAAGCATGTTCTGGTGATTTTGGAACGGTTTTAGTTCATCTTCTGTTGAAAGATTGGAATGGGTGAATATGTTAGGGTACTCGTCTGTGAGATACTGCATGCTTCCATTTCCATAAGCCTCACCCGCAACAAGATAAATCCTAGTGTTGGAAGGAAAACCTAGCGCTTTGAGAAGAAGGGCAGTTTCTCTAGGAGTCAATGGACAACCACCAAGCTTCCTCCTCTCAGACCCATCAATCTCTTTTTCCTTCCAGTGGCTGACCTCATACCGCATCTTACAAAGTTCATCATTTTCTTCTGCAGTCAAGTTATGGCTACAGCCAGTAAATGCAAGCATATCCTTCTCATACCTACAAGGAAAAAGTAAGGAAATAAACAGACGAGGCAAAATAATAAAGCCAAAACTTGAAACCAGATTGATTTTAGCATATGCTTTGAACATGCATCGCCTAGTGTGTACTACAAATTTGAACACGTGATTACCTGAACAAAAGACTTTGAAGTCTAACTCGTAATAAATCCTTACAAGCTAACTGATAATGGAAACAAATACTACTATGTACTAACTAGTTTTCCATGAGATGAAAGTGTTCTAGTTTACATTAAATAAGAGATGATTTATATAGACAACCAACTAGAAATGGCTATATCCAAAATAAGATTACATAAGCTGAACACTAACGTTTTATTTTATTAAAAGATTGTCACATCTTTAGAAGAGTTAATTTTTGAGGTGTGTACAGGATACAAGTAATTAGATTCCCATTCAACAAAGTCTCAATAACTGCCAGACAGGGTAGATAAACATTTTACAGTCCAAAATCAAATCGCATATATAAGGAAAAGAAATTAAGCATTTGATTGTGTAAAGAAGCCACACTAGTCAATGTCTCCCAACCCAGAACAACTATAAATTCTAGAAGGGATGTGAAATATGCAACTATCTTAACATACCGCAGGTGGAGCCAGATAGGGATTTCCATTTTGTCTCATGCGTTCAACCAAGATCTTCCCAAGTTCTTCTATAGGGGCAGAATATTTTAATGCTTTGTAATTGGCACGACACCTCAGTTTTTGAATGGAATCTGAAAGACCATTATTTGCAAGTCGGGAATCTGTATGAGTAAAATACATGACTTTGTGCCGCTTCAGAAGTGGTAAGACCTCTGATTTATAGTAACTGACCTGAACAAAAGAATACAAGCATGAGATATTCTAAACTCTATAGAAACTTTAAGTGAGATAAGTCGCAGTCTTGCACTTCCTTTGTTGGATGAGCCATGAACTGCACAACCACTAGCATACATAACAATAAAATGCTGAACTAGTATTCTTTCTTCAATGAAGTTCTCTAATAATTATCACAATTTAATTGATCATCACCAAAAATAGATGAATAAATGGTTTTTATTCTTAAAGCTTCAGTTTTAGATCCAGCACCATAAGCATCATACATGTAGCTTGTAGACATGTGACCTACACCTACTATATCATTAACTGAGGGGAAACACTGCATTTTTCTAAAGAATAATAGAAGGATAGAGAAGTTTGATTAACCTTAGACCAAGATATTGGTGTCTTCGTGAAAGGTTCAATTTCAGCATAGGATGGTGGCACCGTCTCAACAATGTTGATATCATCCTTGAGTGCCTCAATGAAGTGTTGCCAATCAAAAAGATCTTTAAAGCCACTGAAGTTAAGCAACAGAATGGAGATTAATTAAAACCGTATTACATGCCATCGAAAACACTCATGCAACTAACCATTATACTGAGATCTCTAACAAATAAACCATAAGATCATATATCTCAGCTGCATGAAAACCACTGCAGACCTTGAAGTATACTAGAGAGTAATGTAGCCTTCCTTGATGGAAGAAAGAAAGCAGGTGAGTAGGATTAAGCATATTAATGAATACAATGATGCCTGTCCATGATATCACATGCAATTATCCAAACAAAAGCAAGTATAGGTATAAATGAGAAAAAAACCTTTCATCAGCCCAGTAGGAAGTGTGATCCAGTGAGGGCAGAACAAGTGTCGCCTTCATTATCTTAGCAACAGCAACCATATCACATATCTGCACTCTAAAATTGTTTGTTTATCAGATTACAGTCACAGCTAACACTAAATTGCAGCTAATTAAAAGAATAAAAAACAACCAGACCCCAAATCTCATCTGATTCAAGCCGCCATTAGCATTAATAAGAATATACCCATTTGTCTTTGCATCCAGCTCTGCTAGTGGCAGCAAAAGGAAAGGAGTCAAAATTATATACAGCTGCTACTACAGAGAGAGAGAGAGAGAGAGAGAGAGAGAGACTCAATTCATGTGAAGGGAAAAAAAGAAAAAAAAATTTACTTTTATGACTTTTGGGGCGGTCAATGCATTGGGTGAAATTCTCACTGTCAGGTTTGGACCAAATACCTGCATACTAAAAAATTGCATTCAATAAATCACAAGGTTAAATGCCTACTGAATAATTTAGATCATTGCACATATTGACAGTATAAATCTGACACTCACATCAGCCATACTATTCTGATTACCAGTTACACCCAGTGCTACCATCTTAAGTGTTCGTTCAACATCAGTTCCTCCATCCCTAATATCACCGCCTTTCTCCCTATATCTGAAATCATGAGAGCTTTTGTCCATTGGGTCAGTCATATCCTAATTTGAACCCCCAAAAGAAAAAAAGTTAATAAGGATTAAATAAAAGCACCACTTAATAGTAATGCTATATCTGTACATAACAAAGCATGTTCAGCAATAATCATGATTGATAAATAAATGTACATACCCAGTCAACATGCAAGGAATCAAGAACCAGATATTACTCATCCATACAGATTTATGCATAAGACTGCATAAAAAGAGTGCTTTTACTCCATGGTTCTGTTTTTTATTTACTAAATTAGGTAACCATTCCTTACTTGTAAACAAAATAGCAAATTAAACAGGACTGCTGAACTTGCCATTCAAGTTGTATGCTCGTGATGGCATTAGATGAAGTGTGTGAATCCCAGTCCTGTTTCTATCACCAATCAGGTTAAGACATCAATCAGGAAAACAAAAGAATATTTTCTCCTTATAACAACGCATTTAGGACCAGACACAGAAAGACGCTCCATCAGTTCAACATGCCTTACTTTCATATTCGATGCCACGGGGCCTACTTGAAAATCAAAATCATACTACCAATGGTGCTTTATTTTCTTCAAAATGCAATTCCCTATTATCAATCAGCTTTCGTTAACAGTGGAAAAGCAGCCAAGTAATCATAGAAAAATATTCTTTAAAACGTATAAAAAGCCAACGTTTTTCCTTGATATCCAGTCACATTCTGCAGGAAAAGTAAAGGGACTAACTTCTATCATCTCGCTTTTTCGTTTTTTTTCTTCTCTCCTTTGCAAAGATAACGCCCTGTTACTGGTACTCGAATTGTTTCATCAACACGCAACCAACCAATGATAGAAAAGTTATTTTAAAACATATAGATACCAGTGTTTTTCCTTAATATTCAGTACCATTCTCGAGGAAAAGTGAAGTGACGAACTGTGTCTTATTTCCACTCGCCCCCTTCCCAAAAAGGCAGTTCGCTGAACAGAAGTAACCCACTTACTTCGCAGAACACCATAACGCGAATAATGCGAGAAAACGAAGCTAAATGTGAACTCTCATCTGTTTAAATTCTATTCATCCAACAATTCAACAAGGGAAAATCAAATAAACGGACCAACTAAGCCAGTAAATAGATAATGAAAAATAAATTGACAGTTCCATGCTCAGCCTCATTTTGCGGATATGAACTAACCTGATCAGACCCAACTTTGTCAATAGCTGATCCAAACCACCCGTAAACGCAAAACTTCATTACACCCATAAACAAACACAACCCGCAAAACACAAAGAACATCCAATGCCCCAACTTCTTTCTCTCTCTCAATCCCACTCCCAACTCTACTCCACCCAAAGATCCAAACCCAATGGTCCTCTTCGAGGGAGCTCGCTGAGTCAGATGAAGATGGGTCGGCTTCTTTTCAAATACCGAGTCAAACCCATCAACGGAACCCCAGTTGCTTGCGCGTTCAGATCTGGGTGAATTCAGCTGAAGCTCGATCTCGTGATGGCGAGGATGAAAATTGCTGTTGCTTTGACTGCTGTTAGTGTTTTGACTGCTGCTGCTGTTGTTGCGCTTGAACGAGTGGGCTCGGCGAGTCATCGGCCCGGAGAATCGGGGGCTGTTGACTCGCGGGGAGCGGGAGACGCCATCACTGGCGGTGTTGTGTTGATTGAAACCCATACAAGACAGGGAATGGAAGCGACTGAATGAAAAGCCGGTATGATTATTAAGGAATATGTTTGATTGGATCACAGAGCCGCCGTTAACGACGGGGAAGTTGAATCCCCAGGACAACAAGATACCCTATATAAACGAGTCTTAATCCCTACCTCTCTATATTGAACAAATCCTACCCAAGACGAATGATCAGCAGGCAGTATTACGGTCACGGATTTCACGCATATGGTCTACGAGATACCGACTTATATGATACTAGTATTTGTAATTCTTTCCCGGGATAAGAATGAACTTTATTTGGAATACCACTTTTATCTCGCAATCATGCCTCAGAAAAATTTCCGCTGGACTGGATGACATGTTAAATTTATTTCCTTTGGGAAATTTAGGATGTAAAAAGAACTAATGGAAGAATTATAAGATTTTTTTTAAAAAAAAACAGAAATAGCTATCTTATAGAATTGACAAGGACAAGCATCTTCTTAGCCTTAGTATTGGCCTTGCAAGAACGTAGTCTCCATGTTTTGTTTCGTTGAATTTGATTTCTAGACTAGTCTTGACATGGCATGCACGTTCCACTTTTAATTTAATTGAAGAGGTAGATTTGAACTTAAAAAAAATTGTGCAATTAACTCAAGTACTAATTAAATTTATTTTCTGATTGGTGACTATGTTTGTATTTATGTAATTGGAAGTAGTTAGTTATAATTTATTTAAATGAAATTCATCAAATATTTAAAATTCTTTTCACCCTATCCTATAATTCTAAGAAAATTTTTATATTGTATAATTATGTCTTATAGCAAATCTAGCACTAGGTTAATAACAATAAAATATAAAGTTATGACTTATGGAGTATATTAATCAATAGAAGTATATAAGATTGAAAGTTATTTTAAATTATAAAATTTATTTTCAAATGAGAATAAACTTGTTAAGATAAAATATCAAAAATGGATAAAGATTGACTACGTTTAAGATTTGAATTGAGTTTATTTATGATTAAAGATAAGAAGAAATATTAAATTATTTTTATTTTTATTCTTATTAAAATTTTTTATAAATAACAAGTTTGTCAATTTAATTTTTTTAAACAATGTCAATTATAAATATTAATTTATTTTTTATTAAATTTATCATCGAGTATCATTCGGTTTATATTGAAAGTCCTTCTTTAAAAAACTCTTTCCACCTTTAAAATATAATTTAATGTTATTACTTTTTCCTTTTTTTGTTTTGTTTTGTACGGGATTAGTACTGACAGAAGTTAAGTTAAAAAAATAGAAAGCTGTGAAGCACGTGAGCCTAAACTAACATTACATTCTAATTCATGTATTTGGTTGTAGGACATTACCAAAATCAATATTATCATAATTAGTTGAAATGAAAATTGTAATAGTTTAAATATTTTTAATCCTAATATCTTTGTTTTTCAGTTAGACGCGTTTTCCTTTTTCTTCTAGAAACAACAAAGAAGCCTCCCACACCTAACCCTGACTTTTGAATTCAACGATGACAGCTGGTGAACTTTTTGTGTACAGGACACACTGCTTCGTCAATTTGTTTTATAATTTTTAGATTCCCCACAATATTATTGATTTAAAGACTAAATAAATTATACACGTAAAAGCATAGTTTGTTGGTAATGCTGCGCGGCGGAGTAACGGTGGCCGCCTGCCCCAATTATTGGGTTTCTGATTTAATAAATATTATTTTCTATTTTGCTCCGGTCATCCGATTAAAAGATTCTATTTCATTCCATTATTTCTTTTTCTTTTTCTTTTAAATTAAATTTATTGGACGGCCTTTGTTGACGAAATGGGCGGTGGACTTTTCCAGCTGCAAACAGCTCTTTTTCCCACGTGCAGGGACACGAAGATGACTCCTCCACCGCCATAATCTTTTATTATTTTTTTAATATGATAAATAAAATCAAATAATTATTTAATTTTTTATAAGTAACAAAACTATTATTTGTCAAAAAATTTATGATTTATCTCATTAATGATTGGGCATTTTTATTATAATAATTAACTGTCTTAATCTAATTATGTTAACGTATTTCTAAAATTTTTGACTTCCCGACAATTGAATGTAATCTAATATTAAACCCTCGTACAAGTCACCTAAAAATTATAAATATTTTAAAAAAATTTTACACTTCCATTTTTCATGTTCTTCAGTGTAGTAAGGTTTGTCTCACAAATATTTTCACCTTTTTTTACATGGAAAGATTTTTTTTAAAATTTTGACAAGATTTAAATGTAGTAATATGGGTTATTTCTAAAATTAATATAAGATATACAAAAGGAAATATAATTTTAAAATATCCTAATATTGACCCCAAAAAGCTTAATATAAATTAGCAGTTAGTACCGATTGGTATGACAAAAGTATATTCAATTAAAGCATTTAATTATTCTATTTTCTCCGACCAAATTGAGGTGTAATTTTAATTTTGGAGCAGTTTTTGTTTTATGAAAGCAAATGATTTTATTAAAAACGTATATACATCAACTCATACAACCCACCAAGGAAGCATATGAGAAATTGATTAAATAAACAAGAAAAAAATTGTAAAACCATTGTAATGCCCAGAACGATGAATAGGAAAGTTTAATTATATTCTATGGTAACCACCAGCTTAACGGAAGACTCGATCACTCTTCTTCCCAAAAACACCATAACCGTAGGTTGAAGTTATGACGTCAACAAGGAGAGGAAACTGGAGGAACACAAATGAAGTGACAGGAAGAGAAGCAAGCGCAGCCACCCCAATTAGAATCCAGGCCTTTCCCTGCCCGAACATTAGATAAACTGCGGAGCCAAAGGCCGTTATCATGAATGTTATAGAAAGGAATAAGGTGACAAGGCCTATAATTAATTTTCTGGGCAAAGCATAGAGAAAATCAGCTTCTGCATAGCGTGAAGTAAGGATAGATAGAAACATCAAAAGGGAGGTGGTGGATGCAAAAAGAGATATCGCATCTGAAACCGCAAAGATTATGAATGCTTTACTTTTATGTAAAAAAAATAGGCTCTCCATTGTCATCGTTGTTGCCTCCGGGCACGGTAATGGCTGCTGCAAAAACTATTGTCACGATCAATGCTGCAGCAATTGTGCATGAGGTTGCAGTATCTTTCATCCATTTCTCTCCTTCAGCCACTAGCTCCTTATGTTCTTCAGTGAAAACCTCTTGAGGAGTTTTGTTTTTGTTGTTGGTACTGTTTTTCATCCGAGGTGTCCCGAATTTTTCCACTTCCTATATGGAACGTAATTGAGAATTTTGTATATAGAAAATTGAAGCGCTTTTATTTTTGCAAATTACAATAACTTGGTTTTATTTTGCAAATTGCTTACCTTGAACCATTTTAACTCACGTTGCATTTGTAAAGCTGCCCCGGAACAAGACTGAGCTTGTAGCGTGGTGCCAGTTTTCCTGCCAAGTGTAAGATGGTGTTGCAGTCGTTGTCATATATATCCATCACCATAAGTTTAAATTTGCTCATCTGATATGCTAGATTGAAAACATTTTCACAGCGGTGGAGAATTGCCAAATGAAACATGTAGTGATTGGAGTTATTAGACCAAATTTCCTCTGGAAAGATGTCCACTATCTCTTCTATCACCTCTGGATTACCCCGTACTGCAGCTTCAACGACCGCGCCAACAGTTTGAGATGACACATGTTGTGGGTTAGGTAAAGATTCAAGTTTGTTGCATAACAACTTGACAACTTGAAGAGCTTGATGGTGCTTCAACTTCTTGTCCTTGACATGCTTTACGAATGGTACTGTAAAATTGAATACGAAATTAATTATCAGTGATATATATATATATATATATATATTATATCATAGTTATGTGAACTAAAGTTATTGATGGTTATCTCTTTGTTACCTAACCATCCAATCACTTCCCAAATCGTGGTAGTCAACGGTTGCTCCAGGACTGCAAATAGAAAACAACAAGTCAATTAGGTAGTGTAAATTTTATCAAAGTTTATATTTTCATTTAGAAAAAAGCCATAATACTCCTTGTGTTTTAATTAATTTGCATAAAATCCTCTCTTAACATGAAAATTGAACTAAAATACATTGTATTTCATTATTTTCTATACCAAATCCCTTGTCTACTAAAGTCTATTTTCATTAAAATTTATTTTTAGGAAAAAACCATAATGCTTTCCTATATTTTAGTTAGTTTACACAAAATATACTTTTAATACGAGAATTAAAATAAAATATATTATATTTTAGTATTTCCTTACTTGTTTTAGGTGAAAATGGTTGTAAATTTTGTTTTTTCTATAAATTTAAAATATTATTATTATTATTTATATAATTCATTTTTTATGATAAAGTCAATTCTCTAATATTAGGTGAAAATGGTTGTAAATTTTGTTTTTCTATAAATTTAAAATATTATTATTATTTATATAATTCATTTTTTTTATGATAAAGTCAATTCTCTAATATTGAGAGTTGAATGTTTTTAATTATTATTTTTATTTTTTTTTTTCTTTTCTTATTGTTAAGTGTATTTTATTTTTGTTAAAAATTTTAAATGATATTTTTTCATCACGATTGTTTGTTTCATTAAAATAACCAAAATCAAATTAAAAATTTTATAATTCTTTTAAAGGAAAGGAAAATCCAACAAAACTTAATACACTTTATTTATTTTAGTTTTTAGAGTTTTTCTTTTTTATATAATAAAGTTTATTTTTTATATTCTTTAATTAATTCTTTAATTCGATTATTACAATTTAACACCTTTTGTTGGAAAAAAATATGATACCTATTTAAAAAATCTTCAAACATAAGAGAATTTAGTATTATTTTCATATCACAAGAGAGTTTTGTGTATTTAAAGAACACATGTAAAATTTTATATTTTTAGCCCTTTTCATTTTATTTATTTTTTTGGCACCAAAATCAAAACAGTTAATTAAATAGAATAGGATTAATTGGTATCTATTGTTTATGTTGTTTTGCTTTTGGATCTTGGGTTGATAAGTTTTCTGTATTTTTGTGAAATAACATATCATTCCTCTTAGAAATAAATTTGAAATAAGCACAATCAAATTTTATCATATCTCTGAGAAATCTTATCTCTAATATTTAAGAATTTCCATTTGCAGAATAGCAAGAAAATACCAGAAGTTTTGTTTTATTAATATTGAAATTGATTTGCCATGAAATTTAGGAAAGTTTTGGACTGGGCATTTGTTTAGTGTGCTCTAATTAAGTTTTTGTGTGAGATGGAGAAAGAGAGAGATGACCTGAGACCAGACGTCTACTCCAGCCATCTGTACGGGGAAGCACTGGAGTTGGATTCTCCACGTCACCTTCAACTTTGTTAGGGTTGGACTCGAACCTTGGAGGGACAGCTTCAAGAGAAAGTCAATATTAGAAAATATCAAAAACTAACTATTATGTACTGTTTTTGAGGAAAATTTGTTATGCCCGTTACTTCTTTCTTTTTGTTATTGAAAGGAAAGGCAAACATCTCCTGTCCCCATATCTGCAAAAAAAAATAGCTTTGCTTATAAGAGTATATGTTTCTTTGCTTCTTCCGTTTTCTTGTTTGAATATAGTCTACACATTGAAAAGGTCAAAAAAGAACAAAAAAAGGTTGCAGAAAGCAACCGTCATAAATTAAATTTTCCAGCAATTTTAAGCGACTTCCTCTCCGAAATGCCCAAGGTGTTTGAGCCATTGTCTTCGGAGGCGTGTCACCACGGTCCTTAAAATTGGCCAAGTGAGGGTATTGCTTAATCAAGTTTAATGCCACATCTGCAATTAAGAAACGTATATTATCCAATTACCAGTACTGTCAAAATGCAGGACACTTTAGCAGAGAAAAAACAAAATCAGGACTTAATCAATTATATGTAGTTATAATCTTAAATCACCATATATAATAATAATAATAATAATAATAATAACAACAACAACAACAACAACAACAACAACAAACAACAACCAAACTGTGAGGTCTAGATCCAGGCTCCATGCATTAAAAACAAAGCCAAAAAGGCTTTGTGTCTTCAATGGCTTTGTCGGGTCCATCCCCATGAAAAAAGGTGTGAAAGGATTGCAAATTCATCCTTTGTTGCGGCACGCAAGCTGCATTTCGGCCTTTTATTTTTCCTATTTTGTTGCAGCACGCAAGCCGCATTTTGCAGCATTTATTGACAAGTTACAGACGATGGCGGACAATGCAAGCCATCCCTCGCCTATAAATAGGGGATGGCTTGGCATCTTCAAAACACACCAAGTCAGGATGTGAGCTAGAGAGAGAGAGAGTCTCTCAAAGCTTGAGAGAGAGAAAAAAAAAAATTCTCTTGTGTAAATGGTGAGATTACTGAGTGAGAGTGATACAAAAGTGAGAATTTTTTTTGTGATTGATATCTCGAGTTGGTAAAAATACGCGAGAGTCCTGTGTAAAATTCTTTCCTATAGTGGTGATATTTTTTCCTCTGGATTCGTGATTTTTCCCGATTTGGATTTTCCACATAAATCTTGATGTCTATATTTTACCTCCTCCTAAATTTACTGTGTGTGTATTTTTTATTCTGTGGGTGTGTTGGCCCTAACATGTGGCGTCAATGCATACGCGGCCCCAACAAGTGGTATCAGAGTACTGTGGATCCTAACAAGTGGTATCAGAGCCAAGGTTTGTACTGTTCACACATACGTGATACTATTCATACATACGAAAGTTTTGTTCATACGTACGAGGTACTGTTCATATATACGATGGTACTGTTCATACGTACGGTGGTACTGTTCACATATACAGTAATGTACATGGTGGCACTATTCACAGTAAATTTTGTGAAAATGTTGGGAGTAAAATATGTTGTGGAAAAATTCAACGGTGAAGATGGATTTTTCACATGGTTAAGAAGGAAAGGACAGCATTGGCGATACGGCTGGTTCCTTCTTGTGTATGGGAGACCTTGAAGTCTTGATTGTCTCGACGGTAGTCCATGGCTAACTGCCCATACAGGGGGCAGGATAGGGAAGATCCCTTGGACTTAGTCGGTAAAACTTTGGTTAAGATGTTGTGGCTAGTGCAGATATGGCAGGAGGATTACTCTAGTCTACTGGATGGGGTCGCTTGGATGAGTCAGGTGCATGAGGACAAGTCAGAGGTGTCGACCAAGGAGCTGACCCGTGGTCATGAGGAAGGCCATGTCACAGAGATCCCTGTGCTAAATGGTCTTAAGGGCATGCTGCAGACCTTGCCCAAGGAAGATGTAACCAAGACAAATTTTGACAGCAAAGAGAGTTCCGTAGATCAAAGTCGAGAGGGGCAACTCGACTTGGACACATGAAGCGTAGACATGCAGAGACGGGAAGGAAGGGAAATCTAACTTCCCTTGGGACTTCTGTGAGTGGGGAAGTCTGAGAAGAAGTGGCTGAGTTGATGACCCATGAGTTAGGTAGCCACTAGGATAAAAAGACCAAGGGTTCTAGTCTTGTTTCAAAAGCAAGCAGACTGTTGATTGGCCCAGGACAGTTGCTTGACAGAAGAGAGCTTAACCGGGCTAGAGAGACCAGCAAAGGGCGTAAGAGTCCTTGAAGCTCGCGGAGCTGAAGGAGGGGGAGCAAACCCTCCAAACCTTGTGCATTGGATTGGCAAGAGAGTAAGTCAAGTGTTTTGCCAAACCAGAGGAGTCAACTGGGCGGCGGATCAAAGAAAGACTTTGTGGAAGGCGAAGTTGAAAGGCCAAGTGGCCGAGGTCCTAACTTTTGTGCTGGGATGAGGAGCTGCAGCAAAAGTCAATCAACAATAGGCAAAGGGCTTTGAATGCATAGCAGAGCTATTCAGACAGAAGACTTAGTTTTCAAGGAAAGAGACCAAGTATAAGTGATTTTGTTGCTACTTAGGCCAAGGAGTTGGCCTTGACTTCAGAAGGAAGCTGGCAAGAGGACGTAAGGATGTCATTAGTGGGGGGAGCTTAGGAGTTAGGCAAACCCATGGATGAGGCACAAGTTTTTCTCGGGGAGTCACCAGTCGAGAGCAAGGCTGAGAACTAAATTACGGATAAGGTGGGAGACCCTTGGAAGCTCGTGAGGAGCATCAGGCCAAAGGTAATGTGCTAATGGTTGAAAATGAATCTGAAGTGACAAACAATCTCCAGACTGGTGTGCCAACATTGGCCAAGATGTATTGGCCAAGGGAGATGTTAGGCACATGATGACTAGAACCAGGGACGTTGGTTTTAGGATGGGCACGGCCCATAAGGTTGAGGAGCAGAAGGAGCAACTGCAGGGGTAGCAACCCACCTTAACAAATGATAGCAATTTCCTCCAGGTAGCATGGTTTTGGAAGGAGAGATTTGTGGGGTATAGATCCAGGCCCCATGCATTAAAAACAAAGCCAAAAGGCTTTGTGTCTTCAATGGCTTTGTCGAGTCCATCCCCATGAAAAAAGGTGTGAAAGGATTGCAAATTCATCCTTTGTTGCGGCATGCAAGCTGCATTTCGGCCTTTTACTTTTCCTATTTTGTTACGGCACGCAAGCCGCATTTTGCAGCATTTATTGACAAGTTACAGGCAATGGCGGAAAATGCAAGCCATCCCTCGCCTATAAATAGGGGATGGCTTGGCATCTTCAAAACACACCAAGTCAGGATGTGAGCTAGAGAGAGAGAGAGTCTCTCAAAGCTTGAGAGAGAGAAAAAAATTCTCTTGTGTAGAGGGTGAGGTTACTGTAGTGAGAGTGATACAAAAATGAGAATTCTTTTGTGATTGATATCTCGAGTTGGTAAAAATACGCGAGAGTTCTGTGTAAAATTCTTTTCTATAGTGGTGATATTTTTCCCTTCTTGATCCGTGATTTTTTCCGATTTGGATTTTCCACATAAATCTTGGTGTTTATATTTTATTCCCTCCTAAATTTACTATATGTGTATTTTTTATTTTAAGGGTGTGCAATCCCCAGCATGTGGTATCAATGCATACGTAGTCCTCAACAAGTGGTATCAGAGCACCGTGCATCCTAACACAAACAAGTTAATAATGTCTATTTTAGGCAAACATACGAAGGTTGATGCTAAAGTTTAAGAATCACGATGATTGTGGGGTCCATCCCCATGTGAAGTTTTTTTTACGTGGCTGTTTTTGTCTTTGATGGTTGGCTGCAGCAATGTTTGAAGACACCAACCCATTTGGTTGTGTAACATCCCAACCCAAAACCCTTACCATGTATTTTATTTTGCATTAGTATAATTAGTGATATTATCAGTTATTTAAATTTAGTTTAAAAAGCCCTAAATATTTGTGGGTAAAAAAAAGTTAACATTTAAAAATAATAATAATAATAATAAATAAATAAATATAATAATAAAATAAAATAATAATAATAATAAAATAATAATAATAAAATAAACAAATAAAAAGAAGAAGAAAGAGATGAGGAGGAGTGGGGCCACCTTTGGTGTTTTTTTCGGAAAGTAAGAAGAGAAAGGACGGTGGAGAAGAAAGGAAGAGAAATAAAGAAAAGGAAAAGAAAGGAAAGGAAAGAAAAGGAAAGAGAATAAGAAAAAGGAAAGAGAGAAGAGGGAAGAAAGAGAGAACGAGGCGAGCGAGAGAAGACGAACGGAAGGGAAGGTGCAGGCGACGGAAATCAGTTCAGGCGAGGATCAGGTTAAATTTTTTTAGTTATTTCTAATCTAGTTGCAGTTTAGATCTTTTTAATCGGTTCAGATTTTGTATTAATTGTTGTTTTTTTTTTATGATGAAAAATTTATGAAAAATTTCCATTATTTGAGATTAAATTTCTATTAATTCATGTTAAATCTTGCTAAGAAGGTGACCAAAATAGGTTAGTAAAAACAAGACTAAATTGACACTAAAATTTGTCAGAACTCTAGTCTATAATTTTGCTGACACACCTACGGATTATTTTTCATAAAAAAATAATTATAACTCCTTTTGTGAACGTGAACATACCTTAGTATACCTAACTTGACAATGAGTCTAAAATAATATTTTGAGAATTTTTGAAATACGTATGTAGTAGAAACTTTGACCCCAAATAAAAATGGTAGAAAACAACCTAATTAGGAGTACATCTCATGTATACACTAGCATATTCATGCATCCATGCATCATTTTGGCGTGTTATTGATAGCGTATATGGTTACACTTTAGGACAAGTAAACCGGCCAGACAGTGAGGGTAACAGGATTGAGTCTGGACACACACAATATCAGCAGAGGTGAGTGGTCTTTTTCCTAAATTCAGAATTTTCCTAAAATAGTAAAAGTAATAATTTATTACTAATCAATGTTCTATTTCAAAACCAAAGAATTTATTTTTGAAATGTTTTTATTTATATGTTATGATTATTTTGCTATGTGAAAGGGAAACAGGAATCTCAATTTTTATGCCGTGTGTTATATATGTGAATGTTTGCAATTCACCTGGATAATTCGCTGAGTAACCACATTAGTGTGGTAGTACTACATGATTTATTTGCCGGTGGGGCCTTACGACACCAACAAGCTATGTGTGTTCGTCCATAGGGGTGGTGTCCTATGGAACGAGTCTCATGGCCAGTAGCACCCAGTGGATTTTTATTATGTTATATTTATGTCTACGTGCACGTCAGACCTTATCTTTATTGATGGAGCCGTTAT